GTTGGGATGGGGACTCGATGCCCCCTTGCCGCCTTTGCCCGCGCATCTCTCTGCACGCCAGATTGGGGCGGCTCGCGCCTGTTGGGGCCAGCTCCCCGCGATCCTTGGCCGTGCCCTCCCTCGCCGCCCCTGCCGCCGCCGTCCAGTCACCCGACGGGCCGCGCGCTGGGGCGCGTGAGGCGCGCCGCCCGCGCGTTGTCGCAGCATGCTGTCGTTGCGCTCATGTGACTCGCCTTGGGTCATCCCAGCTTCGCTCCCGCCGAAGCCAGGGTGCGGGCAACGGGCGCGCCCTGCTGGGAGGGCATTCGCAGTCGCCTTGCGCGTCTGTGTTTGATCGCAGTTCGCCTTGCTCGCGGTGGCAAGAGCGACCTAGGTCGGGCTTTCGCCAAGTTCGAATCCACCGAAGTTTCGCTCCACGCTACGGCTACCTACGTTGCAGCTCTTGAGGGTTCGTTCACTTCCTCCTCCCTAGTGCCCGCCCCCTTGCGGCGACTTCCCGACAGCGCTGCCCCGTTAGCTAGCTCGCTGGCGGCCGCGGCAGGCTGGGGCTCTAACCAGGCTGAGCATGTCGACCATCGGGCCCAGGCGGCCCGCGTGAATTGGGATTATTCTTCTATGTCTGATCCCACTCCATACATGTGCAACGATCTGGTACGAGCCGCATTTTTTGATCCCAGCGTCATGCGACTACCAGAGGACGAGTGTTTTTCCCTACCTAGGCTCTGCCTAGAAGGGTTCTTACTCTGTTAGCTCAAGGGGCCGGGCAATGGAAACCGCCCCGGGCGGTTCCCCCAGTCCCCGCCCCGCGGTTCCCCCAGTCCCCTGGGAGCTTTAGCCTTACCTTTAGCTTTAGCTTAGCTTTAGCTTTAGCTCTAGCTTGAGCTTAGCTTTAGCTTAGCTTTAGCTTAGTGTTAGCTTAGCTTTAACTTAGATTTAGCTTAGCTTTAGCTTCAGCTTAGTGTTAGCTTAGCTTTAGCATAGCTTTAGCTTAGCTGTACCTTAGCTTTAGCTTAGCTTTAGCTTAGCTTCAGCTTAGCTTTAGCTTAGCTTTAGCTTAGTGTTAGCTTAGCCGTAGCTTAGCTTTAGTTTAGTTTTGTCTTAGCTGTAGCTTAGCTTTAGCTTAGTTTTAGCTTAGCTTCAGCTTAGTGTTAGCTTAGCTTTAGCTTAGCTTTAGCTTAGCTTCAGCTTAGCTTCAGCTTAGTGTTAGCTTAGCTTTAGCTTAGTGTTAGCTTAGCTTTAGATTAGCTTTAGCTCAGCTTTAGCTTAGCTTTAGCTTAGCTTTAGCTTAGCTTAGCTTTAGCTTAGCTTTAGTTTAGCTTTAGCTTAGCTTTAGCTTAGATGTAGCTTAGCTTTAGCTTAGCTTTAGCTTAGCTTTAGCTTATTGTTAGCATAGCTTTAGCTTAGCTTTAGCTCAGCTTTAGCTTAGTTTTAGCTGAGCTTTAGCTTAGCGTCTTTTTAGCTTTAGCTTAGCTTTAGCTTAGCTTTAGCTTAACCGTAGCTTAGCTGTCGCTTAGCTTCAGCTTAGCTTTAGCTTAGCTTCAGCTTATCGTTAGCTTAGCGTCAGCTTAGCTTTAGCTTATATTTAGTTTTAGCTTTAGTTTAGCGTTAGCTTAGCTTTAGCGTATTGTTAGCTTATCTTTAGCTTAGCTGCAGCTTAGCTTTAGCTTAGCTTTAGCTTAGTGTTAGCTTAGCTTTAGCTTAGCTTTAGCTTAGCTTCATCTTAGCGTTAGCTTAGCTTTAGCTTAGCTTTATCTTAGCTTTAGCTTAGCTAGCTTAGCTTTACTGTTACTACTAATGCTGCTTTCCTAGGGGCTCCAACTCCTAGGTAGGGTCGCACTGGGATAATTTTTCTTTCCGGGTGCTCGCGTGCACGAGGGCCGCGAGCAGTTGTAGGAGCTCCTGAACAAGTGGGGCTCCTGTGGCGCCCTGCATTTGACTTCCTCTGACGACGTCGCCCGGGACGAGGTTTGCGGAGCTTTCAGGGTCCGAGGGGTGAGTCTTAAGCTCATGCTGAACCTCACGATAGTGAACAGTCGTTGCAGCAGCTGCTCCTCCTGCACCCAGCGCCTCGGCCAGGGCTTCCTCCTGTGTGCCGCCTGGGGCTCGCCCCCGGAGAATGGTTGGTGGTTTCGCGTGCTCGACTGCTGCCCCAACCGCGCCGGCCACGCGGCATGCTCGAAGGCCGCCGTGGGCCACGGCCGCCGTGCCCGCAGACAGGCGGCCCTCCGCGCGGGGCAGGCCGCCCCCCCCCGGCCCCGGCGGCGCCCGCTCCCACTCCGCTTGGGCGGCGCGCCCGCCGCGCGGCCAACCTGAAGATATTTGCCGTGGGGCCTCGTTGCGCCCAAGGGGCCTGGCTCTGCTGCCTCTGCCTGTAGCGGCGGTGCTGGGTCCTGCGTTCCGCGCGCGCCGCCGGGCCCCCCTCGGGCTCGACCCCGGGCGTGCCTCCGGGCCTCCCACTCTCGGGGTGCGAGGCTCCTCGGGGCCGAGGGCAATCGGGCCTTGGCCTGGGGCTTTGCGCGGGCGGCAGTGGGCGCGAGCGCCTGGCCCTGCTGCTGTCGCGCGGTCGATGCCGCGGCGCTTCCAGCGCCGCCCCCCCCCCTGCTCCGCCAGGTCAGCGCGCCGCCGCTGACGGGCCGAGGGACCACGCGGGCGCCAGGGGCCGCAGCTTCGCGCGAACCTTTGATCTCGAGGCGGATCTCGTCCAGGTCCCCGGACGCGAACCAGTCTCCTCCCTGCCGCCGCGGGCCGCAGGGCCCGAGTGGGGGGTGGGGGCGGGGCGGGCGGCTGCCGCCTCTCGGCCGCCCGACCGGCGCTCCCGGCCCTGGGGGCCAGCGCCCTTTCTGAGCGCGCGGCTGCCGCGCTGGCTCCTGAGTCGGAGGCGGCGCCTCCCCCGTCGACAGGCATGGCTTACTCCGGCGATGTTGTTACATCCCTGCAGGGGGAAGGGCGCGCCGTCGGCGGGGATGCCGGCGCTCCCTCGGGCGCAGCGCCACAGGCGGCGGCCAGCCCTGCCAACCCTCGCCGAGGGAGGGGGTCGCGCCAGCGCCTCCGCGCGCGCCCCGAGCGCCGCCCAGCGGCTGCGAGCCTGGGTTCGGCGCCGCAGGAGGGGGCCGCGCCGCCGCCGCGGCTGCCCCGCGCAGGCGCAGAGGCCGCGCGGCCCTTGCGCTCGCTGCCGGCACGGCAGCAGCAGCAGATGCGCGACCCCCCGCGCTGCCTTTGCCCTCGGTCGCGGCTGGGGGCGTCGCCCGCCGCGAGCCCTGCCCGGGCGCCCTCGACGAGTCAAGCGACGCGCTCAATCGCTCGATGATTTCGAGCTCTGGGTGGCGGAGCAATCGGGGGTAGCCCCTGCCGCCCTCTACCGCGGCGGCAACCTGCTCGCTCGTTTCCTTGCCATCTTCGGACTGGCTTCGCGATGCCGGTTTTCCGCATCGCGTTTTTGTTCGCGCCATTCTGGGCGTGCAGTCACAGCGCCTTCCATGGAAGCGTTTCTGACCGAGGCCTGGGGCTATGCCAGACAGTGGAGACTAGTCTTTAGGCTTCACCAGGCCTTTCCGTTCGAGCCTCCTGAGCTCCGGCCTTAACTCCCCCGCGCGCTGCTGCGCGCAATGGTGGTGTTTTCTCTCATGACTCATGCGGGACTGCTCTGTATGCTATGTCGTTGTGGCCTGGCGAGTTTCTCGAAGCTTGCCGCTGCGACCGTTCTCTGCCGCGCGACTGCCTTGAGTCTCATGGTGACTCCTTCCTGTCCATCCCTTTTCCACAGCTCCACAGACCCATTGGCCTTGCCCTTCGCGGCAGCATGCCCGCGGTTCGGATCGGGCCGCGGTCAAGATCATGGAGCTGGCGTTCCGCCAGTTGGTGGCCGCCGATCCGCAAACGACCTTCGGTCACGGCGGCTTCCGCACTCGGTGGAACAATCCAGTAAGCGAGCTGGTCGCGCCGCGCGCCCGAGCTCCCGCGGGGTTTCACGTGAGCGTCGTGTGCCCTCGCAGCTCTGGCGCGATTGACTTCCGCATTGCGACCAAAGGGCCCCCGCGCGTCTTCTGGCGCAGTCGCTGGCGTCAGGCATCCAGTGCTTAGCGTGTTCTTTGCCCCCCTTCCCGAGCCCGCTCGCTCTCGGGTTACCTGCTTCGCTACTGCTAGCGAATCGCCTGTCGCTTCTTTCCTGAATGCTGGGCCTGCTGCGTGGTCCACTCAACACGCTGGCGCCCGCCAAAACCTTGTCACTTCGCAAAGGCTTTGAACCTGGGTATGGCTGCTATGGCCTCTTGTCGGCCGTCCCGGTGCGCCCGTCGGACGTGGCCACCTGAGGGCGCTCGCCTCGAGACGGCGCTCTCCAGCACGGAGTGCGGGAGAATGCTTCTTCGAATCTCCTTGCCTCCTGCACAGTCGCTGGCGTGCACAGCTTCTTGGCCCCCCCCACCTTCTACCCACCCTCCTACGGGTTGCCGCAGGTGTTGCTGCGGCATCCTGTCGGCCGTCCGGGTGTCCCCGTCGGACGTGGCCACCTGAGGGCGCCGCACGGTGCGCGCCGCGGCGGCCCGGCCTGGTGTCGGTCTGCCGCGCACGTTCCGCGCGCTCGCTTCGAGACGAATGCTCGCCAGCGCTGAGGGCGGGATGCTGGGCATACTTTGTTCGGGTCGGACGCGCCCCAAGGACGACGAATTGTACTAGTATGTCCTTGTGCGTCCCATGTGACGATTTGCGCCAGCCTGCCTCCGACCCCGCATCCGCCTCCAGCCCAGCTCCCACCTCCACCCCCTCGACCTCCACCCGACGGCGAGCGAGGTGCGGAAGTGAGAAGGAAAAAACCTTGTGAGAAGGCGGTGGGGTTTCTTAGAAGCCTCCTGGCTTTCCGGGAAGTTTTCTGCGTCTTCGGGTGAGGCTTAGAGAACTTCAGAAGGCCTCAGGATTTCCGAGCCGTCTACAAAGGCCCGGTCCCTCTCGCTTCCCCCCCGAGCGCGCCGCCGATCCACAGCTCCGCCCCTTGCCCCTCCAAGGTGCCCCGCGGCGCGGCTGCCAGTGCCAACGCGCCGCCACCAGCCGCCGCGCCTCGACCAGGGGCCGACCCGCTAGACGACGCGTTGGACGAGTTGCTGGCGAGTGCAAAGGCACTGCCGGATGCGCGCGCGCGCCAATCGCCAGGGGCGGTCGGCGGCCTGAAAGCAGTGACATGTACGATAGGCCTGCACGGCGATGACGCGGCGCCGACCCCAGCGCGGGCGTTCGAGGTGAAATCCCGCCAGTTGGCGAGACTCTGCCGATGCCGAGCGGCCTGCTCTATCGGAAGGCTGCGGTCGTTCAAGGTTGAACGATCCACGCGGCGTCAGAAGACAACGCCCGCGACATCGCCACGCGAACCAGTGTGCCTGAATTTCCGCACTTGCGGTTCAAGTCGAAGAGTGGGCGGGCCTGAGGCAGAGCGAGCAACGAGGCCCAAATACATGGACAGCCAGCGCCACGAAGCGAGCAGGGGAGGTCTTCCCTGGAGTTGAATGCACGTCCGCATGCGTGCGCATGCGACGCGTGATGCTCACGGGCCGCAAGCAAAAACAATTCAGCAGCGATGCCACCGAGCGCTCTCAGCGCGGCACATTTGCTGGAAAACAGCCGGGGCCTCGCCCAACGCGCGCCTGGACGATCCCTCCGCCGCCGCCATCTGGAGGTCGCAACACCAACATCATAAGCCTGCACTTTCGCAGCTCCGGGCGGATTTGTTGGATCCGCGCTGGGTCCCCTTGGCGGCGCCTCTGGCGCACGCCCTGGCGCGCTCCACGCGCCAAGGAGGAGGGCCCAGCGCCGATTCCAGAAATTCGCGCGGACCTCCGAACATACATTTTTACGCCCTTCGTCTTCCGCGCGGGGCTGCGATCCCTCTCTACACATAGCGACTACAAACATGACTGCTACTGGCTCAGTTTGTCTCACTGCTGTCGGCTGGCCGAGTGTGCGCCGTCGGTGCGGAGCTGCTGGGGAGGTGGCCGTTTTGCGGAGGCGATGCGTGCGGCGTGTTGGAGGTGAAACAGTTCCCGGCGCAGCAGCTGTGCGGCGGTTCGTGGGGACTACTTGGGGGGTGTCGAGGAAGCGTTGTTTTTGATGGGGCCTGTAGATACTCTGATTGTCCCTTCGTGAGAATCTGTCGCTCATGATGAATGCCCGCTGCAGGCCATGTGACGCCGACGGCGCTGGTCGGAGATGGAAGGATACCACTCCGCTGGACCCCCCAGGAGCCCACCGAAGCGGCGACAGGTGCGCAGTTCGCAGCCCCGCACGGAGGGCGAGCTCTAGTTCTGATGTGCGTAGGACGCCACTCCGCTGGACCTCTCAGGATCCCCGCTGTTGGGGCTCGGTGGGGGGATCTGGGGGGCCTCTTGGGGCCATCATGGCCCCTAGGTTTTTTTAAACAAGGGGGGGGTAGGAAATTCAGGTCCCCACCTGGGAGGCTCAAACATGGCGTCTTGGGACCCTCTTGGGCCGTTCTTGAAATGCTGTTGGGCGCTCTTTGGGCCCTCTTTGGGACCTCTTGGGCCCCTCTTGGGACTCTTGGGCCGTCTTGGGGCCACCTGGAGGCCTCCGAGGCCAACCCGGAGCGAAAAGGCAAGAAGGCAACACACACACACACACACACATTGATTTCTTTTTGGTTTTGGAGCTATTTTAGCCTCTTGGGGGGGTCCTTGGAGGGCCGGGAGGGTAATTGAAACCGTCTTGGGGCCGTCTTGATGCCTCCTGGATGTTTGCCGGAGGTTATCTTGAACCATCTTGAGTTATCTTGAGCAATCTTGGAGGCCAGGTTGCGCCCTCTGAGGCCTTCTTGGAGCCACATGGGGCCATGTTGGACGCTCTAACCCCTCGCCCCCCCCTCCCAGGCCCAGGGGAGGGGATTGGGTGAGGGGTCGAGACATTCTCCTAGATAGCAAGCCGTCTAGCTCACTCCCAGCCGCCTTGCCAACACATAAGTAAAGCCTGAGCCTCGGCATGTTCAGCGGTCGTCTTTGGATGGGCAGCTACCCGGAACCAAAACCGACGCTGGGGCGAGGTGCGCCACTCGTACCAGCCGCGCCACGCGCGCCAGGTACCCCTGGGGCCCGAGCGTGCCAGGCACGACTGGTGCGCCAGATGCGCCACGTGCTCCACGCGCGCCAGGTGTGCCGCATACTCCAGTCGCGCCAGGTGCGCCACGTTCGGGGCACGTGCAGAGTGTGCCAGGTGCGCCTGCGCACGTTACAGCACACATCGGGAAACATGTCGGCCCCAACCATCCCTGTCGAAAACCAATGCCCATCACTGTGTCTGGTGGGCCTGCGCACAGCAGGCCATACGCCACCACCCCGCCGTCCATGTCAAAAACCACTTGACAGTAATCGCGGGGTGGCCGCGCATGATCTAGGTTTAGCCGCGAAGTGCATTTTGCGCTGTTCTTAGACAGGACTGCGCACAGCAGGCAATGTGCTGACACCCCCGCCGTCCCTGTCAAAACACCATACACAGTGCTCGCGGGCCTCACGAACATGGCTGAAGACACTGCCCCGAAGTGTACTTTGTATTGTTTGTCGAACTGGATGGTGGTGGGGGGCCGCATCGGGTTGGTTGCGCATGCTCCGAATTTGGAGGCAGAGTGTGTTTTGCATTGTTTTTTGAAAGGCATGGTTGAGGGGTTAGGATGTTTGGTAAAACTGATGGATCTCCCCGCTTCCAGAACTGGCGCGGGCTTCCAGTTGCGGTTCCCTTGCTCCTGCCCTTGCCTCTTTGCTTGCCCTTTCTCTTTCCCTCTCTCTTCATCGCCGCTTCGCGGCTCAAGCCTTTTCAAGGCCAGGCTGGGGGTCGGCCTCAGTTGGCCTAAGGCTGGGCCCCGGGACCGGGGCCAGAAGATTTTCAGATCCTGGGTCCAGGCCTGAAAGGGGGCGCCCGCGGCCGCATGATGCCGCGCCTGGCGCCGCGCGGCTGGGGGGCGGCGGCGACGCTGCCCGCGGGCGCGCAGCTGCGCAGCGGCGGGGGGCCCGGGCGCCGAGCGGCGCCGGCTCACGCCAGCCGCGGAGCACCCGGGGGCGAGGCGGCACCCGCCGAGGCAAGGCTGCCAACCCCCCCTGCCGAGCCGGCGGCCAGGCGCGAGCCCGCGCCGGCGCCGGCTCGATGCCAGGCGAGGGCGGCAAAGCGCGTGCGCGCGCCGGGGCCCACCTGGAGGAGCTGCCCCAAGGCCCCGGCGCCGCCGCCAGCCGGCGGGCGCTGCGGACGCGCGGGAGTCCTGCTGCTGACCCTCGTGGTGGCGGCCGAGGCCGCCGACGCCGACCACGAGGCCGAGTACGTGTACTACGACGACATGTCGGACGTGGACATGAAGGCATTCTGGCTCGACGGCACCTTGGTCCCCTCCTCGCACGTGGACGCGCTGCCGACCAGAGCGCACCCAGCAGGCGAGCATGCGGCTCCCGCGGGAGGTGCCGGAGGGGGTCCGCCGCGCGAGCGCTCCGCGCCGCCGGCCCACCCACCTCCCCAAGGTCCGACCCGCACTCCCCCCGATCCCCCCGACTCGGACTCGTCGTCCTGGATCAGGGGTTGGGGTCTTTTTGGCATCAGCTGGAAGGACATCGGCAACCGCACGCACTGTTTTGCCGAGGGGATGGGAGGAGGTACCTTCCGGGCTGTGGGGAGTTCCAGGTCAGCCTTCTCGACCCGCGAGGCAGGAAGTTGGCTGAGCTCCGACGGCGGCTGGGTGCTGTACATGGCCGACCAGGTGGGCCTCTACCTGTTCGGCTCCGCGTGGCCGCTGATCGCCGGGCTCGTGGCGATCCTCTCCGGCACTGGCGTGGTCGCACTTCTGGCCCACAGCCTAAGGACGCTCTTCGCACCCTGCAGCTGGGCAGCCTGGACATGCGGCCTGGTGCTGGCGCGCTGCCCCCGCCCGAGGCGCAAGACGCCTGGCGAGGCTAAGCTTGACGAGCTGGTCCCGCCGGCGGCGCCGCCCCTCGCCGACGCGGCGCGGCACGGCCCAGCCGTAGGTGCAGATCCGACGACCGACTGGTGCCGCAAGGGCATCAAGGAGGGCAGGGGCTCCAAGCGCGACCAGAACGACCTCATGATCAGGGTCGGCAACCGGGTCGCGCGGCTCAAGCTCAACATGAAGTCCCCGGAGCGCATCATTCGCCAGGGATTGTGGGTTGAGTATGATTCTGCGAAGGGTGCTAGCGACAAGGGCTTCAGGCGCGAGCTGGAGCAGCGCGATCCGCGCTGGCTCCACCCGTGTCGTTCCATCAGCTGTACCGGATGCAAGGGGCGCGAGAACGAGCTGCACTGCAAGGAGTACGCCGCCCGTGACAACGAAGCTATCGTGGATCTCGGCGACTACTCGAAGTTCACGCCTTGCCGGATCTTCGTCTGGCTCTGGAGGTGGTTGGGCCTCGTCTACAAGCTGCTGCTGTACGTCCTCTCGTGGCTCTCGTGTTGCGGGGCGTGCATCTGCCGCCGGCGACGCCGCCGTCGCAGGACTGGCGACGCGGAGCCCGGCGTGCAGGGGTCTGTGGCAAGGTTGCTTGACCAGGAGTCCGAGTCCGAGGTGGACGCCGAGGACAACCCCTGCGAGGCGGTGAAGGTGGGGCCCATGATCAAGGGCAAGATGGCAAGATGCGCCCGCTGGCGCCCGAGGGATGCCGAGACGCCGCGCGCGGCGATCCGTCCGTGCTGTTGGTGGAGGATGGCCGGGCTTCGGACCTCGCACTTCCTAGCGAGGGGAACGCGACGGCCTGCCTTTGCGAGCATCACAGGCAGATCTACATGGTCCTGCGCTACGGCGAGAACTGCTCCCAGGTGACGTGCTTCCGCGAGGCGGTGGGCATGGCCTCGGGGGCCCCACTCTTCCTGCAGCACCTTGGAGGCGATTCCGCCAAGGCGCTCTGCGACAACCCCACGGGAGTCGGGCTCCTCGCGGGTCTGCGACGTCGAGCTCGGCGGAGCCTTGCTCCGCGGAGCCGCGCGCCTGAGCGTGCCGCCGCAGCTCCAGCCCGGAGTCGCACGCCAGAGCGCTCCACCCCGGCGACCTCTGCTCCAGAGGCGCCCACCAGCCCTGGCGACCCCGTCCCTGCGCCGGCTGGGCCACCGAGCGTGCGCTTCGAGG